ATGAGGAAGGTGGCCTTGGCATAGATGGAGGCACCCACAAGGCACACGAGGAGGCAGAGGGCCAGCAGCACGGTACCGTAGAGCAGCTCGTACCAGTAGCTCTGGGGCAGGACGTGGACGCCTGTGCCTGCTTTTTGCCCTGGAGAGAGACAAGCCAGGATCAGCAGGGCTCGGAGGGGGTGTCACTGGGACCTGAGAGCCACCAGTGTTGTGCCAGGCATGACAGGCACCAACTCACCGGCCAGAAGCCTGGGTGAGCCGTGCCAGCTATGCCAGGCACGGTGCTTGGCACACCTGTCAGGGCCCTAGGGCTGCTTGGGTAAGGGACACCCCGCTGTCCCCTGCCACCACACACAGGGGTACTCACCAGGGGGGATCCCAAAGCTGTCCACCACCGCCTCCACCAGCCCCAGCACGTAGAGGGCACTGCCACACACGTTGGCCAGGAAAAACATGATCCCAATGCTGCCCCCAAACTCCGGGCCCAGGGCACGGCTGATCATATCTTGCTTGAGTCAAGGGATGTTATCAGCAGCCCAAACTACCATCAGGTGCCCCCAACCCCTCCCTCCCAGGCCAAGGGGGTCCCAGCCCCAGCGTGGCACCCCAAGGCCGCTGGGTGGTGACCCGATTTTGGCCCAGGTGCCCTGCCCTGGCAGCACCCACAGCAAAGGATACAGTAGGCTCCGCCGGCATCCAGCGCCCCATTGGTGGCAATGGCACACACAGACAGCACCGTCATGCCGATGATGAAGTATGCCACCGCGAACATGGCCAGAGCTTGGTACAACCCGGCATGGCCCACCACAAACCCTGCCGAGGACGGGGGAGAGGCCAGCGTGCCCGTTAGCTGGGCAAGGACCACTCCCAGGACAGGGTCCCTGGGCACAGCCAGCGCCCAGAGCTCGCCCCACTGAGGCACGCGGGCTGCTCCCATCCCCGTGCCCGCAGCTCCCTCCAGACATGACACCCCCTTCCCTGCCAGGGTGGGGATGTCCCCACCCCGGGGTGCTGCCACCTCCCATCCGCAGCAGCACCTGGGGCCAGCCCGGCCAGTACCCCCCACCTCAGGGCATCTCCATCCTCCTGCCGTGCAAGGATCAGGCCCAGGCACACCCTGGGCACGGGCAGCTCCAAGGGGCGCACCCAAAAAGCAAACAAACAGGGCAAGGGCTCTGCTGCCCACCCGGCCCCGGGGCATTGCAGGGGGGTGCCAGGACCCCCGTGCCCTGCTGCCACCCTCAGCGGGCAGGGTGTGCCTTGCACCCCAACTCGGGCACCAGGAGCAAACTCCCCACGGGGTTTGCGTTGCCGTTCCGCTTGCCCGCAGCAAAGCAGGAAGCAAAAGCAGCCCCAGGGCATCCCTGCCAGCCAGGGCGCAGCTCCCTGGTGCCTGTGCCCTGTCCCCCGGCCCTGGCACAAGGCACCCAGAGCCCCCCGCGGCCCTGCCTGGGGTGACGGGAGGCGAGCCAGGTCGGCAGCATCGCGGGCAGGAAGGGGCTGCCCACAGCTGCAGGGAGATGCCCTATCTCAGCCGCAAGCCAGGCCGCAGCCATGCCCGCGGGCAGTGAGGGGAGTGCCAGGGCACGGGCATCGCAAGGAGCCCTTGGGGACAACAGGGTGGGTTTGGGGACACCCCCGGTCATCCCTAGAAGGCTGGAGGGTGCCCAAGTGTCAAAAGCAGGGGTGGAGGGTGTAGGGGGGAAATAAAGGGGTGCCCCAATAGCAGTGGGGGAGTAAGCAGGAGGGGCTGCTCACCCTGGAGATCTGGGGGGTGTTTGAGGCATGGGGGAAGTGGGGGGCTGCCAGGGGGAGCCACGGCCCTCCTGCCGTGGGACGGTTCCTCTTCCCGGCAGCTCCCCTCCCCCTCCGCCTCGTACTTCCCCTCCCCGGGTGTAACACACCCCCGGGCGGAGGGGGCCGGGGCAAGTGGGGGGACCCCAGTGCCTGCTGTGGGGTAGGGGTTGGGGGGGGGGGGGAGGGGCCCCGCGGGGGGCCCCCAAGCCGGGGGGGGGGGGGGGGGGGG